ATTATTAGACAGGGTCCGACCATATCTAAATGTTGTCCAATTATTAGAATGGTGAGATACAACTCTGATTGTTTGATATCGTATGGAAGTCCAAGATCATTCCACATAAATGTAATGAAGCGGTTCAGTTCTGAATGGGTAATGCAATGAACAGAGGATTGTCAAGAAGTTATGCTTACAATAGACAATTCAAAAATCTGCGGCCGCTAGTAAAATCTTAATCTGAAGCTAAATTTTAGTTTAAGTCTGATCCTAGATAAAAATCGTAAATTAACCTAAACTTATTCTGAAAGGATTGCAAAATAGAGTTTGCTGTTCATCATTTTAGTGCGTTCATGACGCGCTTGTACGCAGGGTGTTGTGAGGATGGCAATGGGGACAAATCCGGAACTACTGATCAGATCTGGATGATGGGACATCCATGAACTGTGGCGCAACCGAAGGGGTTTCCTACTCCAGCTTGGGACTGCTTGAGAAGTGAAACCCGTTTAAGATCTAAATCGCAGCTCATTATAGATGATTTTTTGTTACATTTCTGTGGAATGATCTTGGACTTCCATACGATATCAAACAATCAGAGTTGTATCTCACCATTCTAATAATTGGACAACATTTAGATATGGTCGGACCCTGTCTAATAATGTTCCCCATTTGAAATAAGTATGAGCAGTCGTCTGGGTAAAAAAAGTTTTTTTTTTCTTGTTATGCTCCTTTTAGATTAGAAAAAGTTAATATTAATATTTAGACTTAGGTTGCGCTTAGCAAAGGCGAGGAACAGGCCACTGATATACAAGGTAAAAGCAACATACCCGCAGAACAGAAATTCCCATGATAATTACCTTACCTCCTCTATAGATAATAAATAAGAAATGTGAGATGGAGTTTCTCAGCCTCCAGAGCATTGATGAACGTCAGTTTCCCTTACCATGTTATAACTTCAATTGCAATTTTTAAATGTACCACAATTGCCAAGAAAGCAATTTTAAAACTTAGCAATGCATAACATTTGATAATGAAAGGAAGTTTGGACTTTGTTGTTTGTCACTTAATAATAACTCATCTAATGAACTCGACACAAATTATCTTATACATTAAAAAACAAAATTCAGACATTGATACCTAGGCACTATATCCGCCAAAACCAGAGGATGGGACAGCATCCATCACGCTCAGCCTAGGTTAACACAATCTAATTTCATTTGTCATGGCGAAATCGTGCACGAGAAGCAACAAAAAATACCTTTTTTCTCACCTATAACTCAACATCTTTCGCTTGGTTTGTGTCTTTCGTCCGGAAACTTCTGAGGAAGGGCAACCAAGGGCGAAAAAAAATGCAATTCATATCAAAAAGCAAGATTCAGTAGTCTCCACCAACTTGGGAGATGGAATTTCAAATTTGCTGGACCGATTCCGTGTTGAGAGTAAGAAGTATGACGAATTTTGTTCCTGTTGATGCTCTGAGAAAGGAATACGTGGCAGTTGAATATTGTCGCTCGATAGGGTTGAAGAAAGGTAATGGGCGCTACCCCGCCCATTGATATTATTGGTTAACGAAATATTTATTTTAGAGTAGCTATTATATTCCAAACAAAACTCGCGAGAGTAGGAATTTGAGCGCTCTATGATGTAAAGTGATTAATCATTCCTCAGAAGCATGGGAATGTTGTGCTCGTTTGGTCAATAGTAATTAGATCCCGCGGGGATGGACATATTTTTCAAACATATTAATCATACAAAATACTCTGTACCTACGTCGAGGAAATGCTAGAATAACTCAGTTGAAATCTCCTTCGGATACTTTCCCGAAAATTATTATTTATTTACATAGGAGCTAAGTTGGGGACTGACCTCTTTCCCTGGAAGTGGCTGAATGCCAGGGCCCTCGCCAATCCCAGAGGAACCCTCCTGTGTGCGGGTTGGCAAAGTACAAGAAAGGAAGAAAGCTAATATATAACTATGGGAATGTGTTCTGTGTCCTATAGTCCCGGTCTTGGACCGAAGTTCCCCCCTTCTTGTTTGAGTGCATATTCCTTAAGGAAGAGAGACAAAGGGAGCCGCGAGTGAACAAATGAGGCCTTCTTGTGAAATTGTAGGAGATAGCTGAGTTGAGGCTTTTTCCAAACCCACGTTTAGGTGAAATTATTATTGTAATAAGTAATTATTATCTAGGCAAGTCGACAGGGTCTACCCTGTCGACTTGAATAGATAATAATTACTTGAGATTTTGATGTCTAAGTGGGGTCTGACTAGCTAAGCACTATTTGCAAGTGTCAGCTGTCCAAAGAAAACGTAATTAGGCTCCCTGCTTGCCTTGAATGGCATGCACGTTTCGAAAAGGAAGAGGGAAACGTGATTCCATAATAATTCAGCTGATCCGTCTTAAAATAGGGTATACGCCTATCGTATTTGACGTTTCAGCAAGAAGTTCATTGAAGAAACCGTTAGTCGCAAGTTGATCCCCTATATCAACACAGATGATGTCAGACCAGATATCGTAGCAGACCTCCGATCGGGAAACCCTCTGAGGATATCTTCGGAAAAATAATGGAATGATCCTTCATTTGATACAGATTTGTCTTGTCTTTCTAATGGTGGAAACTGCATTCGATGAGATCTAGCCTTCATGTTATTAAAGTTCAAAAAGCAGGGAAGACTTTTGATTCACCTTGCATTTGAAGTGCTTCTCCACTGAGGGGGTAGGTTCTCGGAGAGCTGGTTAAGTTCGTGTCTATGGAAAGCCCTGTGCCAACGGCACTTCTTTAGAAAATTGCTGGGAAGAGAACGAGAGTAAGAGCAAAGGAAAAGGTAGGGGGAGAGAAGGGAGAAAGAAAGGAGTGGCGAGAAGGGGAGAGAGAGAGAGGGAGAGGGAGAGAGACGTCAGAAGGAGGGGGAGGGTCTTCAGGCGATTCGTATTAGCCAGCAATGTCTTTGCTCCGGGCTGTGAGGCGACGGTTTATGCTGAATTTGGGTAAGAGCGTTTCAGCCAACTGGTGCTTTTTCATGAAAAGCGAGCAGGTCGTTTTGGACGTCCTAATGGTAATTTCCCTAAACATTTCTGGCAGATAAACCGATTGCAAAACAGAGGAAACAAAATGCTCTGTTATCGTGTAACGAGTCACCATGATTTTCAGAGACTACCACCCATGTAAGACCTGAGTGTGTTTACATAAACTTTTCTTTAATGGTATTGCCAACGTTCCATGAACGTCCTTGGGAACGTTCTATTGACTCATTAAATGGCTAAAATGTTAAGTGCTCATAAACAGCTTAACTGGTGCATTTCCAGAAAGACACTCATTATTCAACGACAAATATTGAACCCTTTTCCAAGAAAATGGTTTAATGAGTTTTCCCTTTCAGTCCTTTAATTTCCAATTGGATGATGCCCACAAGGATGTTCTCCTTAGAAATGAGAATTTGGCGGTATGCAAGACCCCAAGCCAGAATGAGACAGGAGACATGAAGTTCCAGATGGACTTCGATTCCAGGAAAAAGGGTGAATTGAACTTCACATACCTGGAGGATCCAGTCATATCGTATGTCTTTTCTGGGGGATCTCAGCAGGATGAGAGACCCAGGACCATCGCGTCAGGTGGAATTCGCATCCACGTGATGGGAGAACACCTTCAGTCCGTCTACAAGCCATCTATCTGTTTTAATGGAACGACTTTTTGTGAAGTGAGACCTTTCGCGATGCTCCTCTTCTCCACGTTGCAGTGATACCTTCACACATTGATGGGCGTACTATGCCGTTTACAAATAAAAATGCCCCCAAAATTGTCAACATCACTATATTATTCAGCGTATTGTATAAGACTATTTGCATCTTGTAAGCTCTTGACTTTATTTTGACAATTATTCTCTTTTAATACATCCACTGCATTGTACAATTAATTGTAGCTCTCAGCATAAAAACAGCCAGCGAGTTAATTTCCTAAGCCTAATACGTTGCTTGCATCATGCTTCCAGGAATGTCAAGCTGAAAACGAAACGTCCATGCGATGTTTGAGCCCAGCCATGGAAGAGGAATTTTATCCGGCAGTCTTGACTTACGGGTTTCAACTAGATGGTGTGAAAACCTACAGTGACATGGGCAGTTTTTTACTTCTTCAGGATCCTATCTACTACAATTTTGAAGGCGTGAAACTTCACTTAAGAGGCTATCTCACTCTGGATGTAAGTGTGTACCATTCTCGTCGGAGGGCGGGTCCTTCTCCTTATACAAAGTATTCGCCAGAACTATGAAAATTGCACAGCATGTTGTCCATAATACTGAAGCATGATCCAAGACCTGGAGAGGTCTTCATCCCCTCATACTCTCCTATTTCTTTTATGCACATTCAAAGTTCACTTCAAATAATACCGCGAAATCCCAATGGCACCTGGGCCCTTTGCTATGGACATTACATAGGAGTTTCCATTACATTTAGTTATCATTAAACGATGTACTTCAGCTCCAGCTATTTGCTCTAGTATCAGGAAGCGAAAACGCCAGTATACCTGGTATTCTTATTAAAAAGCAACACAGGACACATCCAATCGCTGCATCATTTCTTTCAAAGTCATTCCAGTCGTAATGGGGCAAGTAATCACATGGTTCACTGGTGTCCTTTCTTGACAGTAACTTTAAGTCATGAAGATCCTAATACCCCTGCAGCTAATAGAGGCTAATGCGGAAAGCCTGGCTTCGTGGGTGGACATCAATACATTTTTCTTTAAGTTTAGCACGCACACCCTTTAAGCGTCTCAAGGATATACTTTTTCTGCGCGCTTTAAAAGTCCATTGCCAACTGGCTTGGTCATCGAGAACCACCCACAGTCTTGAGGGCCTTCTGCAAGAACTTGAAGGAACATATATGGAAACAAATTTAAAAAGTGCTTTATATGGATCGGAAGCCTGAACTTAACTGGTATTCTCATTCGATCCGTGCGTTCCTATGATGGCGTATGAGCTTATTGTCTTTTTTTGTACGCGGAATGCGTCAGCTCTCTTCCCTCTGGCAAATTAATACATCCCAACCCTCTCACGAAAGTCGATTTTGGACTTGTTATTTTAAGTTTCTCAGATTCATATGCGTTAAGTGTTATTTCTAGTGAAGCAATTCATGACTTCCTAACAGCCAAAAATCCTTAAGGCATCGATGTAGAGGTACGTCATATATTTTTCGGTGTCTGTAATACTGCAATAATAATGAATTCCAATTAGAACTAACAACTACAATTGTCGTGTTTGTAGGTCACGATTCGCAGTAAGTCAAATTCTATTTGCAATTTTCAACGAATGTTAGGAATGATTACTCGACAATTAGGCCTGGCGTCCTTAAGATGCCTGCACCATGAATGGTTTCTACTTATTACCATCCTATCATTATTACTCTTCTCATTATACTTCATAGGGACACAACCTCGACCTTGGAGTTTCCCTGGAAGAGATTGAAGTATGGATCGGAAAGGAAAAGTGCAAGGTGACCTCTCTGTCTAGGACCCAGTTGATCTGCTTGCTACCAGACAGGCAACCTAGGGGAGGCTTCAATGGAAATCCACCTCTTCTCACTGTCAGTGCATATATTAAGCTCGTTTTGCCACAGCGTTATTCTCTACCCCACCACCTTCTTAGGCAACATTCCTATCTGCACCTTAGAATTGCTTGCTTGAGTTTTTGTTCTGATGAAGGCCATAGTTTACTTTTCCAACAAAGAACGTCAACAGAAATTTTTAATATGTATATACAGTTTTCTCATACAGGTAAGACAGAAAATGCCCTCACTTGCTAAAACCTTTAATGTTGCACACTATTATGGTGATTAACATAATCTATAAACCTAACATTTACATGGCACCAGATACTAACTGTAAGTTTGACATCAACGAAATCATTCAAGTCCATGCAAGAAAAACTTACACAACCTTGGAAAAGGGACCGTTGTGGATTTGTTGTGGCTCGTGGGGGTTAACCTTATGTTGTTCCAACATGTCCCAAGCTATTCGTTGGTTCGATATTTAATTTTGGTTGAGACTTAAAGCGAGTGGAAGAAGGATCAGAACAGAGGGAAGTTTACACGTTCACCCTTCGAAAAACAGGAAGACCTATTCCTAAAATAGTTCAAGGCAATGAATAAAAGGGGAGGTGGCTTTTAGGGTTACCGGCGTTGGCCTTCCCCCATTTGTATCTGATAGGGGTTCAAGATCTTTTAAATTTGGGGGACAGCACTGGAGGTTGAACTGGAGGCCGAAAATTATGTTTGTGATGAATCGGATGAACAGGTGTGATCAGGGGGTCGGGGTGAAGCAGGCAGAAATGGAGACACGTTTGTAGATCCCACAAATGAATCATTTTGAATAACGTCTAGTCCCTAGACCTAAAATAAGCTCACATCAAATTTGGCTCAGTCTCATAGCTAAACATTAACAAACCAGGCCATAAACCCTCATCTAGGACCGTTTGAAATCGGAAATTGAATAGGAAGAGAGAAAGCATATACTGTACAGCAACAGAAGCCGGAAATTCAAGACCCCTTTAGGTCATGTGCTACAAGCGTCATTCCCCTTTCGACAAGGGTGTCATGGCCATAAATTAAACTAGAACATTAGTCATGTAGTTCTTGACCCTCACATGAGCCTCAATGAACAAGAGAATCATAATTATTTAATTTAAGTAAATACTCTCCTGTCACAGAAACCAACCAATAATTTTTTTAAAATAGAAATGACCGAGCCCACATAACAGAGATGGAATCAACTCGTCGAATCAGGAATATTTTGTCCTCTCTCCACTCAGGCTGAATGTGAAGCAATATACCCAACAGAGAGCACCTATCATCAGTTACTATGCGCTACGTTGTCATTTTTGTACATTGCAAAATATGCATGAAATGAACAACGCTTTTTTTTTCAAGCCCATGAGAACAATAATTTGTGCGCTATTTTCTTCTATGCCCATATTAATTCGGAATTATTTGCCAAGCGATGGGAAAACGGTTTGAGATGCAGACTTTCATTATATACGGGTTCGAAGTCGTACAATATGATTCTCAGGATAATTTGCCATCATCATCTATACATGTATAATATGATTGGGCCTCCGTGTGTATGTCTGTAAGTGTATGTGCGCATGTGCGGCGCCTTCATGTGTGCGCCGACACAAACAACATGTTTATGTTAATTTTACGGAAAATGAATATAAATTTTTGTCCATTTCATATCATTTTTACACAAACCATTGTCAAGAAAATGTCAACATGTTTGCAGAAATGTCACCTCTGTGATACGTGAACGGTGATATAAAATTAACGCCAATTTTGCGTAAAATTGACATTTCCGTTAGCATTCCAACCAGCATGTTCACATTCATTTTACATAAGATTTATGCTAATTTTCCTCTGGCATTCATGCGTATTAACAGAGTCAATCAGTACCATTGAAGACAACTGTTATACTGAATCTCCAATTCCGTTACGTTCTTCAAAACTCTAGGGTGGTTGGACGAGTACACGAGTACCCATCCTCACCAGCACTCAAGAGTACCCAAGTGACCTACTGCTTCCTCCTGCCGTACTGGAACCTCGGGAGGAGGATTAGATGTTCAAAGGAGCTCTCTTCCTTTCGGGATAGAGAAGATGTAGTACTTGCGGGGATAGGATTCTACTCTTCCCTAATCCTTTGCATTGCTTTAATAAAAGTTAAACTTCTGCATTTAATGCGTCCCTGAGTCATATATTATAAATATATATAAATAATTTCATGTTTTCCATATGCAATATTCTACTTGTTATTAGGCAATTCATGAATAGCATAATAAAAAGGAAAATGTTGGTAAGAAAACCTGATACTATATCAGGAAAACCAGTACTTAATAGTAATTGTAGGATGCAGGGAACAAGGTGTCCATCTAGTGAGGAATCTTGTTACTGCAACTGCAGGATGCTCAGCTAAAGTTTCATATAGATGGTGTGGGGTTCATTTTTCATGAACTTGATATCATGTACCTCACGTCAGATGGAGTGATATCTAGTTGATGTAAAATACACGTACACTTTGGTGATGTTAATATAGGAACGTAAATTTTACATAAATGTGATGTCATTTTCATGGCAATCGCAAAAAATGTTCATATTTTGCAAAAGAAATTAATATCTTGTTTAGGTGAACATGCTGCTTGGGGTGGGGGGTGTACGTCTCCCTCTATTCTGCTCGCACTTTTTTTCCCCGTCGTTGCGACAGTCGGATCTATTTTCAATAACGTAATAGCCCTGGGGTGGCGGTGGTGGGGGGGTGGGGGGGGGGGGGAGAATTCAGATAAGTGGACGAAAAAGAAAAAACAATGGAACGAGCGGGAATTACAACTAGGATCAACTGCTTGTTAGTCAAGTATGCTTCCATTAGACTACCGAACCCAAACGTTTATACTATACATCTCCATGCCATCCTCAACACGACCACGAGAGAGAAAGGCATTATACGCATGCCTCCGCCGTTCCCCCTCCGCATATTCATACCTCCGATACCGAATTTTTCGTAGGGACGTGTAAAAGTCACACTTGGAATCCCCTTTCATCCCTTCACGAATGATTATTTGCTTGCCAGCGATGAGATCTCCGCCCATATATTTCTCGGGATCCAGAAAAGTATCGTAGGCACGAGCAACCCCGTGAGTAGGGGGGGAGATGGGGTGGGGGTGCTCAAGACGTACAATATCAGCTGCTGCTACGCAGAGCGTTAATGGAGCCGCTGACAGAACTCGTGAATATCGGAATATACGACACGGTTACCCTCTCACTCTCGAGAACGGGTGGTGCTGCTTTATATCGTGGAGAGTTTTAGGGCTGCTGACTGAGCTTGGGAATTCCCCAGAAACACTTTATGGAAGACACCCGCCGATTGGGGTGTCCATCTCACGCTCGCGCTTTATCTCCGGCCTTCGCAACAGTCGGATCCGTTCTTGAGAATAGGAGAGAAAGTCATTGTAGGACTTGCGCTCCCCCCCCCCCATAACTAAGGCATGTTCACTCTTCGAAGTGAGCTTTCATGCAGGTAAACCCCCGTACAATACTTCGATTCCCGTTTTCCTCTGTGCTAAGGAGAGTAACTCTAGAGTGTGAAAGCGGCAAGATCCCAACACGGTGGGACAGAACAAGATGGCTTATTCATAGATCGCAAGGGTGCTGCAGGTTGGGTCGTTACCATCCCGTATCCTAATTCGTATATTTCACTCATAGGCTTGCACGCAAAGTGAAGGAGCGAATATTTACAGGACAGGGTTTCAATAATAGGGAAAAGTGCCGATAAATGTAGGGCGAAGATCTCACCCCGGCAAAGAAGTCACCTTCCCTTCCACGGGATAAAAGGGGACTCCAAGAGTTGTACGTAGGAACACGTAAATAATGGGAAAGAGGGGCTGCTGCCTATAGCGATGAGAAGGCCGCTGACCTTTCAGGCCGCCGAATGAACTCGGGATTTCTTGCTGAAGGAGTACATGGAAGTCTTCCACGGGTCAGCTAGTACTAATTACAAGGTGTTCATAAAAAAAACGTGCACTTTTGAAGTTCGATATTTACGGAACGGTATGGCATAAAACAGTGATATTTTAGGGGGATACTCAGGGGGTCATGTGATCTTATTTCAGACTGTTTTGCAAAAAAAAAATGTAATGTTTCATTTTATAATTTTATTTTACTTTTATCTTTTAGTAAAACTTATCTGATCTAGCCAAATGTCACAATACCTGTACTAGCTACACGAAAAGTTTAATATGTTCTAGCGAATTGTGTAAATCCAGTCTCCAAGACTTAGCTATTCGGAATAATGCAGTACAACATCTATTGCAGGTGAAGGTGGGAAAGAATTTGCATTTTACCTTGGGAAGATTGAAATATCAGTCAGAAGGTAAGTCTGTGGATATGGTGAGAAACTTTATTTTCTTGGCATTTAATACTAGTGGCTGATAAATTGCTGCCAACCGGAGGAAGCGAAGTGCTTTGCCGTCCTCGAAGGAGTTACCATTATCGTTAGTGACTACCTCCCCATTAGCACCCAAACGTTTCCAATGAAAGTTTCATATAAATTATTGCCAGCGTTCCATGAGCGTTCTTGGGAGCGTCCTATTGACGACTTAAATGTCAAAATTTAGAACTATAAAAATGTCAAAATTCTGCGTTCCATGAATTATTTGACTTGCATATTTTAAAGAAAGGGGCTCGATTATGCTTTCTTTTTCAGGATTCATCCAATAAGCAAATAAAGTTTTGGATATTTCTATACATGGTGGATATCTCAATGTTCAACGGCTTTCCAATATTTGCTGATAGTATTGCTTTGCCTCAACAAATTCGGATAAACAACTTTGAATCAGTCTTAACCCTTCTCAATTAGGCAAGTGTACGTTTCATAAAAATAGCTCCAGTGCGAGCTGAGATATTTAGAAAAAAGTTGGTTATTTCTTTCATAAAAGCTTATGCTTTCTACTAGCGAGTTTCTTGGTCTTTCAGGCAAACAAACTCACTGTTGACGCGCCTACCGGCGCTCTGCTGAAATACTTTCTTGAAGTTCGCCCCTGCTGTTGCGGTCAAACCATTTGGGCAATGCGTTGGGCAATTCTCGCTCCTTAGCACGTTGGCGACAATGCGTCCTGATGCCAGGATGCAGATTTTTTTTCAATGAATACCTTCTGGAACTGTTGAGAACGTTCCAAGAGATTATGAATTCGTAATTACTGATAAAAATGCAAAAAATTCAACATTTTGAAAAAAACTCGGCAAACAAAAATGGTTTCTGGGACCATGCGTCCTGATTGCAGGACGCATTTTTCAACAAAAAAATGCTCGTGGTCCCACGCGGCTGGACAAGCAAAAATAGGCTGGTCGTCAACGTGTTAAAAAATATATTGCTTTAGAATATATTCATTTTGACTTAATATGATTTCCAGCATAAGGATCATCACTTAAGAATACCGTGTGTCGTTTCTTGTTCCCAAATTGAATTTAATTCCTGTCGGAGAACGTCAAACTATTCTTTGGGAATAAATGTCGAAATACATATAGAAGCAGACACCTAAGCACATCACTTTAACCTGTTAACCCATGCAATTCTTTATAAACTATGGTAATTTCGATAGGTATTTATTCATATATACTAGCAAGTTTGTTTGCCCTTCGCGCAAACAAACTCGCTATGGGCGCGCCTTCGTCGCTCTATTACCTTGGATAGTGACTCATCCATTTTTTGGGGTTGAAAGACTTGATTTTTATCAAAATCATTACCTCTATGATTCTGTGTGTGCCTTACTTGAAATTTTTTTTGTGTCCCTTTTTGTAAGGGTGGTCCCTTTTTTGTAAACTTCTGAGGGAAGTTTAAATTTCTTGTCTCTGTTTCGTTGGATCAAAAAAAATCAGGAAAATGAGACTGAAAAAAGTGCCCTAATGGTTGTTAAATAATTTTTTTTTCTTTTGAAATGTAGACTTAGAGAACTCCATGCCACCCAGTCTCAGCCTAATACGTTTCCCCTTTTTGCTGGCCGAGAAAATATATTTGGAGAAGCGACCCACCCAAAAGCTCTGCTCTGAGGTGACGTATAAAAAAATTTAATTTTTCCAGCTACTTTTGTATGTCT